CTAAACTGTTCTGCAGACTATGCAGCGCAATTCATGCCAGGGTTCTCTGATCCTGGGCTGGGCAAGTCCACCATTACGTTTTCAGCCTTGAGATCCTTGTGGATGCGTCCACTCGCATGCCTCCAGGAAAACACACAAGCAGGTGTTGTGCCTGGAATGGCGACCCTCTAGTGACTCTAGTGTGAAGTCTGCAGGCAACAGGAGCATCACAATCAGCAACGAGCTGCATTATCTTCAGGGCTTCCAGCGTTTGACGCACCTTGGACAGCCAACATGACAAGTCTTGATACGAACTGGAGCAACGGCCCATCATGGAATCCCAGCCGAGTTGCCACTTCTCTCGCATCTATGTGGCTCAGCTCCGACTCCTCCATTTGCTCAAAGAGGTCCTTTCCTCCAAAGGGGGGTATCATGGTATCACCTCCTGCCTTCTCACTCGTCTATACTCAGCCGCTCGTGGCTGAAGCTGGGTCCCAAGAACTGGTACAGTGGACAAACGGGCTAGGCATCCAAGCCTTCAACCTTTTCCATGATCACCAGGTATCTTTCTGGTGTTTCCAGAACCTGTTCAGGCACGGTCAAGGCGAGATGCGGCAGCTTCGCATCTCGGCACTAATACGCGTTGAACTGTGCTCAGGTTCAGCAGACAGCCTCGTATATCTGACATAGCTTGTCAATCTTCCTGAAACTGCCACTGGGCAAAAGGACAACCGACATGGCCCACAAATGCAAGACCCGGTGATGCCATGTCAGCTTTTGAACTATCCATTCCGAGTTGCGGCATGCTCATTTGAACCTCAGTCGTGCTGCGCCAGTTCCTTTCCTCTGTTGCGCTTTTGAATGATATCCCCTGACCAGGCGCAACTGAATCTGCAAGCTTGCGGGTGGCAATTGGCCAGTACAGGAGTGCAATAAAGGCTTTCAAGGCCTTTTGCCGGGTCTTGACAACACACTCCTTGCCGTCGGTCAGTCGCGTGGCCCAGAGGACCTCCATCCCTCTGTTGGTTGACTCCATGACCTGGAGCTCAATGAGATGCCCTCCCACCACTGGTAGGTGCATATTTCGAGCGCATTGTCTGCGCAAGCTAAAGGTACTAGCTGCGTCACGGACAAAACACTGAAACAAAAAACTGTTCCGTGTCATCTGCAGCTTTCGTACGAGGGGCCATCCCGCCGAGCTTGTATCCTGGGCGAACACAGCTATTTCAAAAAGGCTTGATTGATCAGCTCAAACGTGGAGTGGTATTTTGATGTTGCAGGTGAGACTCGGCGAGCAACGTCTCCCTCTGACGTAGCCTCCCCACACTACTGCGCTGGCTCAGTCAAACTTGCCCGAACATTCCCTCAAACCCTCTGCGCAAAAGGCAGCAACACGGAGAGACCATGGACACTATCCCAAGCGAGCCTGAATCTTACACTGGTGCTGGACTTTGGCGCCCGGTGTTTGTTCCTTGGATCTGTGAGGTAATGAGACGCGAATATACGAAGATCTTCCAAATCTCAAGACATGTTGTCGCCTGAGCTTGCTGCTTGTCCGTGATGTAAGGCAAACGAAAAGTGTGCAAGAGTCATGCCAAGGCACTGCCGTAGACACCGACAAAGATAGTCCCAAACGCTCTCTCGCGGCCTTCATCATCTTGTTCTCTCACCTCTGCCGGTGCACAAGGCAAAAGGCCCTAGCCTGCAAATTTTCCACACTCGAGCAGAAGACCAACCCAGTGCCTGCAAGCACGCTGGGCGACACTGCGCAGGAGCAGTAGTGCTAAGGACTATGTACAGCCTGCCCTTCCTAAGAATGCTGAAGCAGCTGCAGTCAGCTGCAGTACATGTAGTCTCAATGACAACGTGGCCATCTTCACACGCGTGTGCAAAGTAAACTCATGCCTTGCTTCCTTTAGGCTGACAAGGAATGGATTTCGCTTCAGCTGCACAATCTGACAGCAGTACTTCCAGTCAGCCACTGCCCTCTTGACTCATGGGGAAGCTCCAGCACTTCTTGTGTGCGCCACACCCAGAAGCACAAAGTAAAACTGCGCTCAAGCTTGCTCGCGCTCATGCACATGTCCCTCTAGCAGGGCACGTACAAGTCCAGGATCGCGCTCTATGCGGTCGCTGAGGCGCCTCCAAATCTGCTCAAATACATCGTCGGTTTGAGACTCAGCTGATGTACCAGTAGGGCTTGAACCATACCCTGCATAGTCCTGACCATTTCCACGCAGGCGTCCAATCTTTCGTGCGCATTGGCTTACATTGGCCGGGGCCAGATTGTCGACAAGAACTTCGCCACAGAATTGGGCCAAATCCTGCAAGTCGTACATATGCGCCAACTCAATCAAAGCAGCAGCATCCACATTGGGATCAAATGCTCCAGTATAAATGTGCTGCAGAAACCCAGCCACCACTTCTTTCGGTGCCGGAATCCGTACACAATTCTCCTTGGACTCTAGCATGCCAGACTCAAACATGCGGCAGAAAACGGATGAGCTGGCCGCGAGCAAGGCCTTGTGGGCATGAAGCACGCAGCCATCGGAGCATGCAATTTGAACGTCTGAAAAGAGCGGCGTGTGCAGCAAGCACTCGGCATAACATACCGGGGTGCGGCTGTGTTTCTGCGTTGCCTCGATCCGTAGGACCGCATTGTCAGCGACAGACGCTCCAAAGAATCGTCGTGCTCTCGCAGGCGCAAGGAGACTGCCATTCCAAACACGTGAATTATTTACAAAGACCTCAGCACTGCCTGTGCTTGTCCATCTGACCATAATACAATCTCCTGGCCTCAGCCCCGAGGCTTCGCGGCGACTTCCTTTTGTGCCTGCCTGCGAATTTGCAGGACTCTGACTACGTATGCCAAAAGATTGGGGCAGGAATCCCAGATCCCCGGCTTGGCAAGGGGCTTCCTTGCCGGTGAAGAATAAGCCACCTACTGAAATTGAGTTGCCCTCGCCCGGGAACTCCACAACTCGTACCATGAATTCATCACCCACATATTCCGCAGGAACCAAGGCAAGTGGGCTTTCGGATCCAGCAGAGCCAGGCACTCGTACAGTCCAATCATCATCAAAAACGAGAATGAAGCTGGAAAGCGCCTTGTCCCAAACGGGTCTAGTAGTGGGCATGATCAAAGGATCTCATCACGGGCTTCCGCTCCACTTGCGACCATGGCTTAGACAGCAACCTGTTCCCCTGAAAGTGCTGTCATGACAAGTTGCATGAAACGGTGGCTACACATGTTTTCTTACCATGATCACCTGACATGTCCTAGCCCCAAGCGCGGCGAAGCCAAAGTCAGCAGGTGCCACGTCGGAATAGGACTGTATGGACAGATTGAAGCTGACATGACCGCGTAAGCTGCCAACTTGTTTTCCATGCAGGCGACACCAAGGCACTTGCCCTACGTTGTTGCGTTCGGTTGCTGCGTATGCAAGCTGCATCATTTGCTTGCTGTGCTTCTGACTAAATGCCAGTGCGTGCTTCCTTTACAAAACTTGAGTCTCTGAGAAGCAGCTGACCGATCATGAGTGCACACCAATAATCCGTGACCATAGGATACCATAGGGGCCCGAAGCTCAGGCGTTTGCCGGCTTTCCCCTCAGGATCAGGTCTTCAATTCTTTCCTTTACACTGCGCTTCAACGGCTGCAGCCGAGAAGCGAAGTCCAATGGTCCACTTTGATTGGACGGCCTTTGAAGTCAGATCCATTGAGAGTCCTTAGGTGTCTTGTCGATCCCCTTCCCAAAGTGTCTGTCACAAGAATTGCACGCTGAGATTCGCGACAGCATTTGCCGCTTCCTCCACTGTCGCGTACCGTACGCAAGCCATGCCTTTGGACCTTCAGGCATGGCTTCGAAAACAAATACAGTAGGGGGTCCCTTGTTGGGGATCCCATAGTAAGGATGCAAATATGTTGGGGTCTAGAAGGGGTACCGGGACACCCTAATTTATGGAAACTCCCATGTGCTGTAGGAGTCCAGGAGCAATGGCTGCGCAACAAGCAACACACTGATTTCAAAAACTAGCGCCTGCCCCAATCTGTGCCATCCTCCGTCAGTATGGAACAAAACTGAACGGTGCCCGCTTGCTTCATGTGATCCTTCAGGTCCTGCCATTGCGCCTGGCAAGCCCATAGGTTGAGGTTGCCAGCAAAACTCAGCAATTCAACCAACCCTGCCTTCCAGTCGATGTTGCCCACGTAAACCAAGAACTGTGGATCGCCTTTGACCTGGTTGCCTTTGCTGCCGCCACCGAAACCTCCGGACATCATCATCGCCATCATTGCCGACATTGGGTCGCTGCCACCACCGCCGCCGCCACCCGAGTTTTTTGCACACATCTTACAAAACCAGTTGCGGGCAAACTGGTGATCTCCGCAAGTTGGACATATCCAGTCACCAGGCTTCATCTCTGGCTTGGCCTTGTCTCCATATGGCCCAGAAGCTGGGGTCACCGCGGGACTGGCCTTTCCGTAGGCAGGCTGCGCCTTGCCCTTCCCGAATGCCGGAACTCCCCAATTCTGCATTCCTGCTAAAGGGAAACCCAACTCGAGATGCTCGGGCCACAAAGCTGCGAACCGCAAGCTACGAAACCTCTTGACACATATCAGTGAGCATGGGATGAAAACCACCGAACAGCTAGCAGCACTACTTTGCACACACCGCTGACTTCCCATGTACAATGCTGAGGAAGCAAGCCAGCTAGCTAGGTGGCAATCATGCGAAATAGAAGACACTCCTTTCCTCTTCAGGTACTTTCTGTTCATTCTGTCACTGAGTTTCCATGCGTCTAGGATGCCATGCTCCAGTCACAGTCCTGCAACACAATCACAGTGCACGTAAAGCCCTTCATCAAGCAACACTACACAAACGCTGCGTCGCATTTTTCATATTGCATATTATGCCATGATGGTACTGCTTGCCCCTCACCGTGGCTGGTGTGACAAGAGGCCAGGCCGTCGGCTGCAAGAAGCTCCACATGCATCCATCGGCCAGCACCGGACTTACCAGCAATCCCTTTGGCATCCGTGTGCCTAGCTCTTACAATGTGCATGGGCAACCTATTCTAATGTCACAGTCTCCTTGAAACATGCTCATCACAGGCTCTGGTCTGCGAGGTTTGGTGGCTGTGTATGGTCTTGTGCTCCAGCATGCAAAGCTCAAAGCTGAAAGCCAAACCTAGGGGGGAAGCGCTGGGAGCCAAGCCGCGGCAGCCTCCGTACTAAAATCAGCTTCACTCCTTGTGTTGCGAAGCTGGCAGACATTGTGCAAAGTGCCGGGGCTGGTGCTTGATTCCTTGCGGCTTCAAATTACCCTCGTCTCTCATTTTCTGCTAGCAGCATCAACTCATGATGCTTGGCTTACGTCTCGCGCTTCTGGCCCATTAGGGACAAGCCTGAAACGGAAACTCCAATGGCAGAAACGTCCACTGAGAGCTCTGAAAGTTTTGAGCTGTACAACGAGGAAAGCTGCTCAGGCGAGTAAGCAGAAATTCTCTGCTCCACCTCGCTCCGGGACACCCTCGGGGAGGTCAAGAAAATGTTCATCTCGACCGAAAGCTGAGCTAAAAGTCTCGAAGGCGCCCCAGGCACTGGTGCAATTGCAGCATGGGCCTTGATTGCGTCAGGAGGTACGTCGCCTGATATGTTGGCCACCGTTTTTTGCAAAGCAGATTCAAATTCCGCTGCGTGGGCGCCAGCGAGCATCAGATCGTTTATTTCAAGCTGCATAATTCCATCAATCACCTCCACATTGCCTCGACAGAAATACCAGTTGTCGATGAAAACGCACTCCTCGGCCTCAAGCGAAAATGCAAAGCCATCATGCAATCTTGACTTGTGACCTCTCCTTCTCAACCCTGTGCCGCTCTATGCTATGCCTCTCCCTCTCTCGAGCTAAGCTGCCCGGACAAGAACACCCAACCCTAAACCCAAAGACAAACGCAAACCTTGCACGGTCTACAGATGCAGTCCCTTGGATAGGCCAGGCCGTTTCTCCTACGGGCTGTTCCCGTCTGTGTGCTCAACCCTTTCGAGGCCAGGATCAACTCTGCCATGTCATTTCCCGCGTCACTTTACGTCAGCTAACGAAAGCCGCCCTTTGCACAGTCTTCCACACTCACTCGTATGTTGTTGACTGTTGACCCTGGCCCTTGCTGCTTTGATTTTCTGATGGTCGCTTTGAAACAACTTCAGCGCAAAACAAAAAAACTCCTCGCCCCACTCGACTTTTACCAGGAACGCGCGCAACGCTGCCTTTATCAAGTTCGATCCTGAACCCAAGCTCAAGGGGTTTTGCGTGCTGCTCTGCCAAAAGGCTCTGTGCCTCTCCCTCTGCTGTCAAGCATGGCTGTTCACTGTCCCACCTCGTCGCATGTCATTCCCTGAGGGGTGGGGCATGCTGTGTCCCGGCGACTGCCGTCACATCCACAGGAGACCGGACCTAAGTTTTGCATGAACCAGAAAATCAGCGTAAGTAGCAAATGCGGATAATGCGGGCAACGTCCCAATCTCAGGGTCCAACAGAAGAAGTCAAGCGTCTTGAAATTCCAATCAAAGGTCGAGCCCCACTCAAAGCAGTCGCCCCAGGAAATATTTTGAGCAGTAAGGTTTTCTCCGAAGCCGCATCCATGGTCCCACATTGCCTTCAGGGGCTTTTTCACGTGTAATTTGGAGCAAACATGAGAAAACAGAACATTCAAAAATGCTCAAAACAGCAAATGTTAGCCCGGGTGCCTGTGCCAACAGCCGAGCCTCAGCCTGCCCTTGCAGACCATGGCCTGCATCAGCAAAGCTGCGAAGAGCAGTGACCCAGCTCAACCACGTTGTGGAGCTGCGCAGCTCCTGAGGTGTCTTCTCCTGGCAAGACGTTGTCTGCAGAGTCTCTTGAAATGGGGTGGATGAGTAGCATGGCCGCTTCTTTCCATAGGGGCAGCCGTCTACAAAGAAGTAACTGCCACCGGGATTGGAGCAGCCGCATGTTTCAGAGCATAGCATACGTGTGAAATAGCCTTTGCCGCCATCCAGTTCCCACCCTGGCATCTTCGAAACTGAATTGCAGTACATAGAAGCATCAGCACATCCTGTGAGGCTTTGATTCTCCAATCCCTCGCGTAAGTAGTTCAGCATCGGCACACCAGTTGCAAGGTCTCCGCACGCAGCGTTGCTCATGTCAACCAAGGTGTCCAAAGAATATTCGCTGGTGTCTAGCAATGCATTTACATTCGATAACCAGACGCCGTACTGAGTGTTGTCTGCACCTTGCAGACTTTGCAAGCTCTGTGCTCTTTGGGCCTCCTGAATGGCTTGAATCTGAATCCCAGCAACATCATTCCATCCATCCCCGCTTGTTGGTGCAAGAACGGTGATGTTCCGCTTGTCGAGGTGCCACACGAATTTCAAGTTCCCACCGCACAACTCATCGGACACTGACTGCAGCGTCTGCACCATGGGCGCCAGCATCAGAATGTACACGAGAATCGATATGCCCGGACTCAGCTGAAAATACTCATGCATGCGCGGCACACGTAAGCTCTTGCAAGCTGGGGGGCTTCAACCTAAATAGAGAGACATCACGTCAAGAGATAGCCCAAGGTCATAGTTACAGTAGCAGTTGAGCACTTGCGAACGTCTGTGACTGCATGGTGCCGCTAAACATATAAGGCTCCGGCATCAGGAGGCTCATCACAAGTGCTTTGCTGTCTGCTCCGCGGAAACGAGGAAAAGAGGGCATGGGCAGCGGTTCCAAGTGGTGGACCTTATGATTCGAATCTTACTCTCTCTGCGGTGAAGCCTTCCATTTGCTGCTCCTTCTGGGAAGGCAGGAGAAGTCTGACTAGTAAAACCAGGTGCCAGACGAGGTGTCTGCCAGGCGTCGTCGCCAAGGCATCAAAGATCAGGTCGTCTATGTCGAGAATAATTTCCAAGGCCACCTCCAGCACTTTTCGGTTAACGAGTGCACAAAGGCATACTGCTGTATCAGCAATGCACGCGATGCAAAAAGCCAAGTGCAGAGCTGCATTCAAGATAAGCTCTGTGACATTGACAGTGTAAACCTTAGGCAAGTTGCCCACTTCTACGTGCCACAGCCCCCTGCCAAAAAGAGCTGACGCGTGCGAGAGAGTTGCTAAGAAGTAGGTGCCGACGTAGATGAGGAGGGCGGCCGCCACAAGTCGGTATGCCAGGAGGACACCACTTGCAAACACGCGCCGTCGTGTAATGGACGTCAGCCTTAGGAAGCAGGCACTATGGCGCTAGCATGCCCGTCTTGGCGCTTTGGTCAGCACTACGGACTAAACCACTGAGGCCGAAACCTCTTCCCCAACAACCCCCCATGGCCCTCCCCGCAAGAATGCTCCGCCCTACCAAGTTTCATTCATTTCCACCTCTTCACTGCCCCTTCTCCTTTCCTTTTTGGCAACTGATTTCTGGACACGCCCAGCAAAGCCCACACCTGGGCCGTTGCATCTGCTGCTCGGCCCCTGCCTCGCACCGTCTACCCGGCCCTGCTGAGGCGACTCCTGCCCCTGTCAAATGTTCTCACGATGCTGGCACTTAAGCCGGTTCATAACAATTTGGCATCTGCTTATTTGAATTTATTCGTTTGCCATCCATCGCCCACTACCAAAGCTAAACTGTCGAAAACTTGAGACATTTGTGACATCGAGTTGCCTGTAGTGGGTGACTTGGGTGAAGGGATTTTCCCTGGGCTCCAGCTTGTTGTAACCTCGAGGCACAGCGGCGATGCCACGATGCAGGGCCAAGGCGTGGCTCACCTCCTCCGCGACTGCGCGACTCCAAAAAAGATGCCAACAAAAAAGATGTATATAGGGGTTATATAGGGATTATAGTATATATATTGGGGGTAGTTCCCATTTTCTTTTCCATTATCCCTATATAACCCCAATATGTACAATAGAATCCCTATATAACCCCTATATACATATCTACACACATCCTGAAACCCTGCGGTCCGGTCCTTGGCCACCATCAGATACCAGCAAACCTGGGATGGACGCTCTGCAGTGCACTGCAACGCAGATCCACATGCTTTTTTTTTGCAGTTCCAGACTGGTGACTTTGAGCCTAGCAACCAGAGCCACCATGCAAAGAACTTGGCCAGTGAAATATGCAGACACACCCTCTTGTCCTGGCTTAAGATACTTCTGTATGTCCTCGTAGAGGGTCATCTGGACCCCGGACAAGTGCAGAGACTTGTCCCCATTACACACTCTCTCTGCCAGAGAAGATCCGGAAACCGCATCGTACTCAGTCAAAGAATGACCAGATGACTCACGCCAGCGGAAGGCATCCCGTACTGTTGTGTCGTCCACGTCCGGCTCAAGAAAATTGAACCACGCAATTCCAACAAAGATGCCCTGCATCAAGACATTCATGATCAGCAGAATCACAGTTTGGCATGACCCAACCGGTCCCAGGGCTCCAGTTCCAATGAAGATCACCAAGTCCCAAGTGGACTCCCCGAACTGATAATATTCCTGCTGGTAAGGCGCACAACGTACTGGTTCTTAGCAGGGAATGTGGATATACCATATATAAGAATTATATATATATATATATGGATTCTATTCCCTCATTCCCTACGAATCCCCAGCACGCAAGCGAAAGATTCAAACTAAAGGCGTGACAGGCAGCCCAACCAACATGAGTGTCTGTCGCTTGGGAGCACTGAATTTCACGCAAGTGTGCCGATTTGTGACAGGATTCTTTAACTCAGCAACACTAGCTAGCGGCTCACCTACCTTTCCCAGCCTTCCAACAGTCAACATCTGGGAGTAAAGCGTATGGCTCGATAGTGATCTAGCAACCAACCGCATCTGAAATGCGTGACCCCATTAACTCTGCACCTCAAATCTACAGCAGGCATCGTCTGCATCAACAAAGCGCGTGGCCAAGACAGCCACAAACAGCCCATGCACACAAAACTGACTTCTACATTGCCAGGATCACCAGATATCATTAATCCAGAATGGAAGCTGCTACAACTCTCCTATAATGCACAACACATGATGCCCTTGCTTTCGTGGTCGTGTCTAAGGACCTTGGTCTGGGTGTCGAGAACTTTCTCATCGATGCCAAGTTGAACACGCTGCATTACAGAGGCACGCCCGTGATACACGGCCAGGGCGTCTTTGGCCTCCACACCGGGCATTCGGGTCCTTGTTTGCAAGCGGACTTGCATGCTGTGCAGCCATGAACTGTACAATATTTGTTGAGGAACTTTGCGGCTGGCACAGCTGTAGTGGCCCATCGATCTTCTTCTTCCATCCTGCATTATTCAGCAGCCCTTCTCTCTCCTCTTATCTGCCCTGGAGACTGTTAAAAAGCTTGAATAGGATAAGTAGCCAACCCTCATCCATCCTCGGTGATGGCAGTGGATCAGGGGACTGCACAGGCGGTTCGATGCCTCATCTGTTCAGGACTGCTTCCAAAGCGGTACATTATGCAATCCCCTTGTTTCTGTTCTCAGCATGCTGTCATCGCCAAGGCACAAGGATCAACCGAGCCTCCTGGAACATTTAATCTGCACGTGAGCGGCACTTCGTCTTCTGCTTCCTCTCGTGGAGACGGCGGGTTTTCATTCCGTGCAGGTGGCGTCTGCGATTGATCTTGCAAAGTCCCATTGAAGTGCCTCGATCATTGCATCTGCAGCTCGTGCATTGACAGGTTGATTCATGACAAGCTACAAAAACAAGGAACCGAGACACTTCAGTTCCTCCAAAACCTTCACACGTCGATCCAAACCGGCGTCTAGGAGTCCTTGGACCTGGAGCTCCAATCGCTGCAGTCCTTGCTCAGCTGAGCCACAGACTGATGAAAGACCCAATAGAAATAACGACACCACCAAAGTCAAGGTGCTCAAAATGCACATGTTTACTATCAGTTTGGTTGGCATGGAGTGGCATTTTAGGCGAGTAGCGCTCTTCAAGCTCCCTGGAGAGATCCGCGAAACTCTCGGCCATGGACAGCTGCTTGGGAAGTGTGAGAAAGTAGCAAAGTTTGCGGTTTCTGGGCTCTGTACACCTTGCATACCTGCGCCGCCTGTTCCATGAGTTGAAAATGCTAATGCGGCACATGACTTTTCGTGTCAAGCTACCCCACAGGATTACCTACAACGCCTCTGTTTTGTAGCACAGCCGCAGAGTGCAGGAGAAATGAGCAATCCAAAAAGTTGAAGAGCTAGACACACAGAAACTAAGACAAGAGCTCTCTTTTCCGGCTCACGCTGGGTCAGAAAGTTTGGCTTGGAACTCCAGTGCCTGGCGCAGAGGTGCCAGCACCGACCTCGCCATGGCAGCTTTATGCCTGGAAGAACCTTTGCCAATGTCGGTCAGAGCACGCAATAGGTTGTGGGCCTCCCCAGCAAGCTTGGTGCGAATACTCTTCTCAGTGGCACGACTCGACCAGAAGTGACGGAGCAGCGTTACCGCCCTAACTACTGGCTCTGGCGCAACCACTTGTGGGTCTACATTGCCGCCTGGTGGAGGAAGAAGCCGCTCAGCTGCAAGTAGCTCATCAGTCGAGCTTTTCAGAACCCAGCGAGTACCTGCCTCTGAGATGACGGGAGCTTTCTGAGAAGACGATGGCAGGGTTGCTTGCCTGGCTTGCGCGGTCACATCTGCACGTTCGCTCCTCTTCAGGCTTGACACGGACAACGCACCGGCGCCCGGCTTCAGTTGCAAGCGAGCGGGCTGGGTAAGCTGGTCTACAGCAGTTGCCATGCCCAAATCTTCCTGGAAGGTTTTCGTGGCACTTTGCAGTTCAGAACGTCGCCTCTCCACAGCCTTGCGCAGCTGGTCTCCCTCTTTTGCCTCTCTGCCCTCTGATGCCTCTGACTGTGGCCTGATGCCGGTAGCGCCAGCGCTTCGCTCATTCAGTCGGCTAATGAGTGTAGCACCGGTACGCGGTTTTTTCAGAGGCCGGTCCGGCTCAAACTCTCCTGTCAAATCTGCCTCGAGATGCGACAAAATGGATTCTGCGGGTTTCGCAGACTGCTCCGGACTGTGAAGGCCATCAAACAATCTGTCTTCAGGATGTGATGCCGGCACCTCCTTTCCTGCAGCAAGCAAGAAATAGCGACTTTTCAAACACCGCTCCCAGAATTGGGCCTCTGTCATCATTGACGGGACTGTTGCAGAGTGAAGCTGACTCAGTGCAGGTAACTCCTTGAAAATCGCAGAGCAATCTTCCGCACCCATCCCGCGTGCAGAGCGGTGCGCAGCAGCAACGATGCGTAAGGGAGCCAAATCAACCACTGGCGCTTCCGGAAGCGGCTTCAATAATGAGATCTCTTGCGCATGTTGCTCAAGAAACTCAGATGACGTGAGGATTCCTGTCTGCTTTACCAGGTACTGGTACTGTTGGCTCAGGCCTGGAGACGCCAAAACGGAGCGCAGTTGCTCGCCCAGCATTTCCGCTTCCTGCCGCTGTTCCTCCTCCAAACGTCTTGCTTCATCCTCACGCGCCTTCATCCACTCCGAAAGCTCTCCTAAATGCGTCCATTTGTTGTGCGGACACATGAATTCCACAACGAACTTCCCTGGTGGTGTTGGTAAGTTGGAAAGGCGCACCAAAGCTTCATCAAAACCAGGCCGCTTCTTCGAGATCTCAAGCTTCACGCTCCTAGCTCCAGCTAGTTGGATTTCCATTGCATTTCCTCAGCCAGGTCAGTTTGCAAACTCCTGCAGCGATATTCACCATCTACCAATTAAAAATCATTCAAGTGCTACCACCAA